CTGAGTCTGCTGATAGAACTTTCAGTGCATCTACATCAAAATCTTCTTTGTGATGGCAGAGTTATGTTCCCTCTACCAAGTGGAGTAATGCCTCTGCTGCCACCTGGGAACAGGCAGGAGTAGACACTTTCATATCAACTGACTTCTGGGTCCCTTCAGCCACCAGTGCCTTCTAATGGTTTCGCGGTCATGGTGGCTGCATTCTGAAGTCAGAATTTGTTATGACAGAGCATAGTAAATATAGACATAGTTTTGACTCCCTCTCAGAATGTAAAGTTCTCCTCTGAATATGTCTATAAATTCTTTAAGATCTATATGTATGCATCAGTACAAAGCTTGATGCCTCAAGACTCGAACAGAAGCAGCTGATACATGACAAGGGTACTTGCTTCTTTCCGAGACTTACACAAATAAAATGAATACTTGGAAATGAATTCCTCAGAGATTAGAAAGTCTGTCATCTTACTGGAGTGAACTTGAGAACTCTATCAAACTGAAATGAATTTAAGATTTATTATAATTAACACTAGGAATAGGATCCAGAGGAGGTAATCTGCAAGCACAAATGAGTTTAAGACTGAGAGCCTCATGAGGAGGTCAGTGTGGTCTGAATGGAACATGTAGTTTGCAGTCTTCGTAAAATCCCTACACAGCACATTAGGAACTTGAAAGCTCTGTAACAGTAAGTTACTAAGGGGCATATGCTGACAGGTTTTGGCACTGTTAACCCACATTAAAGTGAGTGAGAGTTGAAGCTTCCTTATACTGCTCAGAAGTACTGGGTCTGACTTAGCACTTTGCAGTATTGGGTCCTTAGTAGGGGTGTGCAAAGCAAGCTGTATTCTATTTGGATTCAGATTTGACCCAATTCAGGGGACAGTGATTCCATTAGTTGATTTGGATCACTGTTTGGATTCAATTCAGCGGAATCCAAATCTGAAGATTTGATTCCAGTTTGGGGAATCAGTGATTCGGCCACAGACACACCTTTACATGTTTTTTCTACATACCTTGAGGTACCAGGCATGACTGGTGGGGTGGATGGACTGTCCCAAAGGAGCGCTAGGGGTGGGGGGGCGCCCACATACTCACAGCGGACCCCCCCACACTCCCCTGGCTCAGCGATCGGCCATGGGGGGACCCCGGATGCCCCCCAAGACCCAGGAGGTACCAGTTGCTGAGCCACAGGCGGTCCCCTGCATGCTCCATGGTGGACATGGTAGTGGACTGGACATGCTTCTGGTCCACTTCTGGGTCCGTCGCTGAGTGAGCTGGGGACCCCCTCCCTCCCATGCTCCCATTCAATGCTCCATCTGCCCTACCATCTGAGCATTCATGAGCCACCTGGTACCTTGTGTTATGTAGAAAAAACATATAAAAGCTGTGTCTATGTATGAATCATTGACTCTCTCCAAATCGATTCGGAGGGTTCCGACTCAATTTTTTCAAGTTGACCTTGAAGACATCCTTGAAGCACTTTCTCTGCTCTCCTTTTGTACACAGCAATTGAACAATTGGCAGTACTGCAAGTTAAATATTTATTTAAAAAATTCAATAAGATAGATGGTGAAATACAAAAGTAAAGCACCATTCTGAACAAGCTGAGTTTATCTTTTTTCAGTAAACAAATAATTTTATTTAGGGGTAGGCGGAAGGAGAAATATACTGGAACATATAATAGCCCCACATCCTATACAACCTTATTAATATAGCACAACTACCATCCAGACAAAATGAGGATGGGATCAATTGCCTGGATTCCCATTTATTCTTTGGTTAGTTTGAGTAGAATATATTTAGCGTAAATCTTGTCAGAAAAGAGAGGAGGAAAGGAGCTTAAGATGACTGATGGAATTTTTTCCTTTTTGCATTCTGAAAGCAGACTGATTTACTTACATTTTAATTTTATTAAGCTGCAAAAAAGTTCTCAAACACAGCTGTTGAAATAAACATTGATTCAAAATGTAAAAAAACCTTAAAGCTAATTTCCTCATACTATCCACAGAGTTCCATTTTAAATTATTCTTTTGCATTTCACATTTTTACCAAGTGCAGTTTAGAATTCAAAACAGTTTCCAAGTCATTTTTTCCTGTAAGCAGATTTATTAATAGATGCAATATGCATAATTTGTCATTCTCCTGGAAGAGTACGATTGTAAACACAAAGAATTTCTATAAAAATAGTCCAGAATTATTGAAACTGTTTTTTCTTCTTAAAAATATCGTATTGTAGAGAGAAATGGTCATAAGCTCTGGCAATGTTTTTCATGCAAATTTTCAAGTAATTTATCCATTGTCTTAATGTGGTTTCGGTAGAGGGATTTATTTTCCTGATTCCCCCCTTTGCATCCTTCTTCAAATGTTTTCAATGTTTTCCTCTCAAGCTTTTTGTCTGTGTGCACATTTTAAAATTATTTTAATGAAAACTGTTAGTTGCTATTACTGCCCTCTCTGTGATGGGTACCTGTATGTAAATAGGGAGGCAGGGAGAGACTGCTCCAAGTCATGTATCACCCAATCATCCCTTCTAAAGACTTGGAAGCAGGCAGGGCAATGAGAGCCAAGGCTGAGAAAGTGAAGGGCTGGTGTGCTTGAGCCACAAGGAGACAGAGCCAAGAGCAGAATGGTAGGCAATAAAGCGCTGTGTTAACTAATCCCCGCTGGCACAATATTGGGGGGAAGTACCTTGTTCTTAGTAACTTCTCCTGTCTCACTGCCAGGAGCTGCACATTTTCCCTTCATCACAGCAGACTATAACATGTTGCCTTCTTCAGCACAAGCAGCAACAGGCTTTCTACTGTACTAACACATAATTCAACCAGATACACATGAAGCACGTAGAGTAAGTTAGAAAGAAATGTATAGTGTGCCATGGCTGATTCTGGGAAAAAGGAACAAGGGAAACTATTATACCCTAAGACGAGATGCTGGCAGGGAAAGAAATTGCTTTTGGCATAGTATCAAGAACAACTAAGCAGAATCATAGAAAATTAGGGTTGAAAGGGACCTCAGGAGGTCCTCTAGTCCAACCCCTGCTCAAAGCAGGACCATCCCAAACTAGATCATTCCAACAAGGGCTTTTTTGAACAGGGCCTTAAAAAAACCACAAGGATGGAGGCTCTACTACCTCTGTAGGTGCTTCATCACACTCCTAGTAAGAAAGTTTTTCCTAATATCCAACCTAAACTTCCCTTGCTCCTTGTTCTGTCTAAGATCCTTTTCTTGCTAAGAATTGTCTGCTTCCTATTTCCCTCATTGCACACCATGTTCCTTCAAGCTTCTGATGTCTTCTTTGTCCACTCCAACTCAGAGGCAGCATCTACACAGGATGCTTACTGTACAGTAGCACGTTAGTACTGCGCAGTATCAGCGTGGGGCATGAACTGAGACGCAAAGGTACTGCGCAGTAGTAATGGGCTGCTGTAGAGTCAGCATCACCAGGAAGCCATGTGGAGATGCTACTGTGCCAGTTACTGCACAATGCAAATACTAAATGACTGCACAGTAACAACTGCACAGTTGGCATCTCATGTAGACATGGCCAGAATCGGGCAAATTAGGTGATGTTCTCAGTGCCTCCCCCATAGAGAGAGAATACAAGATGTCAGAACATCCGTTCCTCCTCTGTGCCTGGAAATGGTCCGCTCAGGACCTGTTCAGACATCTCCCACAAATATCAGCAACACCTCAGACATGGACAGGGCTCTGACTCTGAAAGGAATTGGTGATTTTATATCTGGTCTAATTGTTGGGTCTGAGGGTTTACTAGATCTAAAGTATATTTTAAAGTTGAGATAAGTAAAATTGTTTTAGATTTAAAACAAGTTAAAAATCAACCCAAAGGCCTAAACATACTCCCGTTCTACCTTAAAAAATTAATGTGATATGTTTCTAAGGAGCCCTCATTTTAACCTTAATCTTAAGTCATAAGTAGCAATGAGGAAAGAATCTACCTCTTTATTTTTTTTAGGGATTCTTTTAAATTTTTTTTTTAGGGATTTGAGTAGGGGAATAAGACTGCACTGAAGTATCTTAGATGTGAAATAGGATTTGGGCCAAAAGTTTATATTTAAATACTTTTATGTTTCACCCCTCAAAAATGCACATATTAGATATCTTGCATTTTTAAGCTTGTCTAATTCTATTCCAGCTATGCAGTTGGTTCAATAGAAGATATCACCCTAAAAAGGCCTTGCTTCTTGCAAGTTAAACAGGGCATTATAGTCATGTCAAGCTAATTTCCATCTCTTTCTATTTGAACATAGCCAAATATGCTATGTGAAAACACTCACTGGTTTAGGTTGAAAGGAGCCTGACATAGTAAAGCAACTATTTTAATTTCCTAAGGCTGACTCAGGAAAGCTAAGCTAACAATATGAAACATTTTTATCCTGTATCTATTAAAACATTTGGAGCAGCTTAATTTGTTGAGGGCCTGTGGTTAGTCAATCCTAACATTAGTGAATGACTGTGAAAAAATTTGTACATGTGACCCTCTCCATTTGCAGGGGACATGTTCTTGTATCCCCTGTGAATGGTGAAATCTGTGAATAAGGCACTGCATTCATGAATGCAGTGCCCCGGCAGCTGGCAGGGGAGGCATGGCTGCGGTGGCAATGGTAGGAGTGTGGCAGAGGTGGCGGGAACCTGGCAGCAGCAAGCATGGAGCTCCAGAGGAGCTCCTGTAAGTGTATAAAGTGTATTTAAAATGCGAGTTTGGGATTCACAAATATCTGAAACCGCAAATGCCAAAACCACAAATAGTGAGGGTTTCCTGTATTCTCTCATTTCTCCAACCCACTGCAAAGCACAGCTGGAGTCTGACAATCAGATCATTCTATTTTGGTGTAATACATTGTACACAGTTTACCACTGGATATTAATCTGATCCATCTGAGTTGCACAATTAAGACTGTTTTGTTCTTAAATGTTCATTAAAAAAATTAAGTATTTGTGTTAAATGCAGATACGTATTAATTTAGTTCAGTCATAGTACTTACGGACACTGCTATCATTGTTATTCTTAAGGGAGCTGGCAGCAACAGGAGGTAATGAAAATGGCTTTGTTTCAGTGACCTTAGAATCTAAATAGAAAATGAATGTGTCAGTATTATACAACTTTAAACAAAATATAGCTTCCTTTATAAAAAAGGCTAAAGGTGGCTACTTTGCTCTGATTATGCAGAAAGTAGAAAGTGAAGCTGGAGCAAAAGACACGTATACTGCAATAAGTAGGCGTGTTTATATCACCTAATATGGAACAGCACCAAAGAAATAAACCCTACCAACTCACTCCTACTCTGTATATGTGTAAGCATGACAATTAGTTATAGTAGATGGCAGTCAGAAGCCCTCAGAAACCCAAGGTGTACAGCCCAGTATCATTCTCTTTAGGCAGAGAGCCTGAGACTGGTGCTTGGGTGTATCCTTGAAGCCACTCAAACTTGCTCTAAGCATGAACGCCTCATGCCTCCTGAGGCTGGGGGTGCATGGCGACCGCTCACAGACACTGCCAGCAGTGTCGGCAGCACACCCACATGCATCCCCTACACGTTGTGAGTGGCTCTAAGGTCATTTGCCTTATCTAATTGTTAGGTTTGGCTGTCTGCAGAGTGAAAGTGAATGGGCAATGGTCACTTCTTTGGCAGTAGCCCTAGATAGCCAAATAGGCTTGACTGACAATCCCAGTGTGCCCATATATGGAACTATTCCAGAATATCTCTTATTATGGATGTTCCAGAATAACTACATGTTTAGACAAACCCTTAAATCCTTAGATTATGGCAATAACTTACTTCAAGTTTTATTAATGTAACTGTGCATTTGCATATGTTGCCCTAGGCCTTAGTTCAAGATCAAGAATGAGTTCTTCAGTGATGAAGAATCATCATGAGAGCCAAAAAAATTAAGCAGCTAGGCATCCATTAATTTGAAGAATGACAATGAGGATACATGTATGAAACCATAGTAATTTAAGACAAGCTTCTTAAATTTTCAGTACCATATATTCATGATTTTGCCCACCCCCTCTTCAGGGAGAGTAGTAAAAATTAAGAGATGATTTTAATAGGGTACAAAATTACACTTTATTCTGGTCCAGTAGGATCATTTGGACTTACTTTCTACCTTATGACTATTCAGAAAACTCAGAATTGAATATAAGTCATTTTCAAAAAGATCAATTAATTCTTCAAGTTAAGCACAAGATAAATACAGCTGTTATAGCATTGTAAAGACAAAACCCAGGATATTTTGTTGAAGTGATCACAATCTTAAGACAGTACACTTAAATAATTTAAATTGTATTACTATAGTAGCAGCACTATGCATTATAGTTTTTTGGGTACCATAATTAATTCCTTAGTATTCATAGCAGATGTAAAAGTCTTAGAGCTGGTAGTCACTGATATTATGATATCTGAAGATAACAAATGGGATCCTCTAATATTTTAGTAAAAGACAATATGCTTATTTAGAGCAGCTGAAAATGTGGCCCAACTAAAATGGGATCCATTTTACTATCTTACCATTAAGTGGTGTTTCTGTTGTTGAAGGCAGAACACAGTCATCATAATCTGATATTTCTGAAAATGTCTTAAAGGCTTCAATGATGTTGTTAAAATGCCTAAAGAATTCCTCAGGAATGAACTTGTCTTCTTTATAGAGGTGGTCGCTTTCTTCTTTAAAATTCTAGAGGAAAATATAGAGTTCTGTATTAAAAGGTCCAAGTACTTATTTCAAGCATTGTGGTTTAGTATATAGACAATAGGTTTTTTATAAAAAGAATATTAACAGGTGACAAAAATGCAGTTAAAATTTTCGGTTGTGGAGTTCCATTTTAACTGCAGAAATCTCAAACTTAACACTGAAAACTTAAACTCAAAACTCAAGAGTTACTTTTAAAAGCTAATGTTTTCAATCCAGCCTTTGCATATATGTCACAAAAATGTACATTTACTTCTCCCACCGTAACAGATAATGCAAGATTATGTTTTAATTCCCTGTTAGAAACTGTCTTAAGCACCTGAAATTTTGCAAGGTGTACTTGACCCTTTTAATGTGAACATGATACTCAACTATAATGAGGAACTATAATTATGACAATACTGGACAATGAAATACAATCAGCTGGACTTTTAAAGGGCTTTTAAAATGGGAGTATCCAAAAGTTAAGGCAGGAAAAGACAAGCTAAGTGAGATCTGAGCATCTCACTTTGTTTCTCTTTAGATGAGGTTTCTCTCTAGCTCATCTTAGGTAGCTCATGTTGCAGTAACATTAGACTGCAACATGGGGCCAATATAGGTTGGAAGCCATAATTCAGAATCCCAGGATGCATTGCTCCAAGTCCCCTCCAAGATGGACAATCTATCCTCCGGAGTTCTACTGCTCTAATGTGGCAGCCAGAGAAAGCTGGCACCTGAGGGAGTCCTATAGCAGGTAGAATTCTTCCCCTCCTCCCCTTCTCACTCAGAGGCACATCTCCTACCATGTTCTTTCTTCCCCTTCCACCTTCATTTTGAGCTCACCTCCCACCTCCTTTTCAGGGCATTTCCCCAGCTCCTGGCTCCCCACTCACATTACTGCACATGCTGTCCCAGAGGCAAAAGAAGTTCCTGTCCCACTCCAGGTGCTGTGCAGGGGCTCAGCTCAGCCCTAAGAGGAGCAGCAGTGGTGGGAAAGAAGGTTTCCCCTCCCTGCCCCTGGTACTTCCAAGGCTGTCAGGAAACATGCAGGGGCTGGGCTCAGCTTGGGAGAGCAGCAGCAGTGAACAGGCTTTCCCTCCGTGCCTGCTTCCCCTGGGTGTCCCCCCTCTGCCTGGGAGAAGGCAAGGAGGGGGAGCCCACTCACCATCTGATGCTGCTGCTCTCTGGGCTGAGCTGAGCCCCACATGCAGCACTGGAACAAGACAGGAGCACCCTTCATCCCTGAGATGGAGCCAGCAGCACAGGTGAGTGAAGAACTTTGAGAGCAGTGGGGTGGCAGGTAAATTAGAGAGGTGAGTGAGTGAGGACATGCAATAAACCTAACCTGAGCAGGAAGGGGCCACACAGGCTCCAATGAGTGGGGGTGGCATAGACCTGATCCTGGAACCTGCATTGCTTATACAGTGGAAGCTATACTGCTGCTAGACAGCTGGCCAGGTGGGTGGCTACAGTGCAGAACTGGCAGCTCCCAGCCATGCCCCAGCTCACCAGCAGCAGGTCAGAGCTCCGCACATTAATGGGCATAAACTCATAACATACAGCTGCTTACAGCACATGCTAATTTTCATACTGCCTAACATTTCTTAGAGTTAACATGTGCAAACTGTAGTATGTAACTACACCCTAAGATCTACCAGTCTGCCTCTCTGGGGTGTGTCTGCAAATAAGAGCAGGGCCCTTAATTGAGGAAACCCAGTTACTGCAATGTTTATTGAAAAAATGTGTTCAATAAAAACATTGGACTCTTTACTGATAATACTGAGCATGTTAGTTTTTCCTTTCTTTTTTTCTTTATTTTTATTTTATTTTTACAACAACTTTGTCTGTCATGACAGCAGTCGCTTATAACAGCAGTTCAAATTCAGCCTGGGCTAGTTTTTATTCCAAATAAGGATTGGGAAGTTAGGAACACAGGTAAAACAAATCAACCTTGTAGGTATCTAACAATGACTTAGGTGGAATTTCAGTATCTAAATCACAAAAGTGATTTCATTCAACACTAATCAAGCAGCTGCAAAGCCATAAGGTTACTTAAACTCATTAGGTATTTTCATTTTGGCCTGAAAAGATACCAGGGTGTCTTGTCTTAGGCTAGTGATCTATATCAGCCACTTAAGCATATAACTCTGGTCTAACATCTGAATTAATCCAGATCAGTATAATATTTTAAGTTCCAAATTCCTATGGTGACCAGAGTATACCTAATGATTCTTTGATGGTGACAGTGTACATGTAATTTATACAAAATGTTGCTGAAAGAGGATGAAATGGAGCTCATTTTTTTGCCCAGTAGCCTAGTAGTTAGAACATTTACCCAGAAAATGGGAGGCCTGGGTTATAGGTCCTCCTTATTCTGAGAGGACTCAAACTCAACTCTCTCACTTTCTAGTCAAGTGCTCTAACTGAAAAGCCATTGGCTAACATAAATGGGGACCCCTTCATCCCCTCCTATTGAAGATGGCCCACTAGAAAGGTGGGAGTGTAGGATTTCTAGGACCAGAGGAAAAGCAAACAAGAGGAAGCCTAATGCGGTAGGGGAAAGTGGCCTCCTAGGAGCCCTGGGTTTTAGTCCAGCTATCAGAATAACTTCTACTTTTAGCAAAAGTCTGTAAAATATATAAACTATTCAGTTTGTAGCTAGCTGGATTTGAGACCCAGAACTCCCCCCTTCCAGGAAGTGTCTTTGTTACTGGGTTACAGATTAAGGCTTCTTTTTACTTCCTCTTCCTTTTACAAATTGAAGTCTTAGGCTCCATGAGCAGAACACGCTTGGCTTCCTAGTGGTCATCCCTGCTTCAACAGACAAAGTAGGGGAAAAATCCTAACTCAGGGTAGCTGTATTAGTGTTCAGGGTACCCTCCTGGAAAATATAAGATGTGGGTTTGAGTCCCCCAAACCATGAAACTCCTACTCCTTGAGTGAGACCCATTTGCTATGGTAAAAAAGGCAAGCACTACAACCAGAAGCTATGCTCAAAAGTGGTTGTGAGGTGGCTGTGTTTTATACTGAAGTCAAAGCTGCTGGTAGTTAGGTGTCCTCGTTCAAGCAGATGCCTCTACTCTTGTGCTTGGGAGCTAAAAAAGATAGATGCATCTAAGGTGCTGTCTTGAGACACATGCCTATACCTTGAGGAGGAGTTCAAACACACCTCTGTGCATAGTGATTCCTATTTGTAGCTAGCTGTAGATGCCTCCCTAGGTACTTAACACTTGGAAACATACTTGGGAGGGCCCCAGCTCTCCTATGCACAGCACAGGGATCCTAAGCACTCAACCTTGATCTAGTTTACTCTCCTGGGGGCATGGAATTTAAGCACTATGGGCACATCCAGACATCTGTAAATGTTCGTTTCCCCAGGGACAAGTAGCAGCAGTGCACCTTGCATCACAACTACTTGTCGTGGAGGAACACTCATGCCACACTCACTTTGGTGTGCAGCAAGTTACCCTGGATGGAGTAGGGGAGGTTGGTGCCAGCACTGTGCTAGCCCCAGCAGCCTTATGTGCCTGCTGGGGGGCCTCCCACGGCTGCAGCTGTGGCAATCCTGCAGGGCGGAGCCTGGCTGGCAGCCAGAGTGCGGTTCTAGGTGGCCAGGCACTGCTTCTGAGCAGTGCATGCTGCCCAAGTGTGTGCTGCTCTGGGGTTTTTTTCCCCCCTAGATATCCAGGGGTCAAAAAACCCACAGAAAAAAGGAAAAAAATGGAGCAGCAGACACTTGGGCAACATAGCCTGTGTGGTATGTGCAGCTGCAAATGTGTTTACAGTGCCACATACCTCACGACCACAATTATCTGGATGCACCTTATGATTCCAAGAATGTGTTTCTAATGGTTGGGTCCTTGGTTTACTTTCTTTTTTCCTCGCTGCACCTAGAGATGTAGGCTTATTCTTTTGCCAGGAAAAAAAGAATAGTTCCTTCAAATTAGACATGCTATTTCCTTTTTGTTAATCCATTGTTCTTAAAAGAACTTCTTTAAATCGCAACATTTTAAACCCCCTCCCTCCCCCCCCAAAAAGACTTGTATTAGCAACCTGCAAATATGAACATTTTAGATAGATGAATTGGAGACCTGATAAGAGTGGCAAACAAAATTAAGATTGAAATGAAAACAAAAGTTTGACCACAGAATGATTATCAGAGCAAACTAATTAGCTTATTAGTATCAAAGTAGTGGGATAATGCAATCTACTGCAAGTCAGTAGATTTGAGTTTGCCATAGTCTCATGTTGTGACATTGGGCAAATAACTTCACTTTTCTGTCCACAGTTTCACTCTGAAATGGGAACGGTTACAGGTGGGGGACCTTTGTAAATGATTTAAGACCTACTCAAAGATAGGTATTACAAAGAGTGAAGTCCTGGCCCTATTGAAGTCAATAGAAGCTTTGTCACTGTTGCAGATTAAACCTAATGTTAATACAAACCACTTTCTCAAAGTACCCAGGGCTATGTAATGAACATGATTAGTTACAGTAACATTGGATTTTAAAATTATTAACAAGCTAATTGTTTTTATTTGTTTCATATGGAACAGAGCTAGACTCACACCCTTACTGTGAAAATCCTGGAGTCCTTCCAGCAGCTATTGGCATCAGGAGGGCAGTCATTTGAAGCTGAGATGATGTTCACTAAACTAAATAGTGTGTCCTTGTGTGAAGGTCCATAAACCCATCATGAAGGTTTCTGATGTTCATTGATTGTGATATACAAGAAAGGTCAATATAGTCTTTTTTACCATACCATTTTTTAAACTTATATTGAGATACTCAGCAAAATTATTCATTCAGTTAGATGTATAGTGAGAGTCAATGCTTATATAATACTTGGTGTAGAATTAATACTAAGCAAAGACCAGAATAAATTATTTTGAGGTTGAGAGTTGCATTTCTGGACTATTTTACTGAGAAACTATTGAGAATATCTGACTATTTGGCTATCCTGTACGGTCATCCCTTTGAAGTCATGTAAGTGGTTTTTCAGGTTTTTTTCTATTGCTTTATCTCTAGGTTGGCCACAGAGGTTCATTTAGTACAACATGATGGTGTTAGCTAAACAGGAATCAAAAATTAACTAGCACAAACTACTTAAAACACAACTGTGAACTTTGGTACAAATAATCCAAACACAATATCCAGCATAAAAGGGGAAATTCTGTATTAGAAGTTTACCTTATTTTTATCTGATGCTAGACATTCTATAAGATCATTAATTATCCTTGTGAGATTATTGATGATTGAGTGGTTGCTTAAAGCTTCAGATATTTGTGAAAATTTGTGGAGCAAATTATTCAGACTCTTTGAAAATTCAGGCACCATCAAATGCAACCAACAGTGATTAGGCTGTCAAGGAGGATAAAAAAAAAAAAAAAAAGAGGTAGGTTAAACACCACACTTGCACAAAAAACAGGTTAAGTAACAGGGTGCAAAAGGTAGATAAAATTATTTCTTCCAATCTGTATTATCTTACATTTGTCTAAATTGAAATGTAGTTGCTGTTGTACTGTCTGATTCTCTCTTCAGTCCTTCTGTAGAACTTTATGTTCCTCTCTAATATTGGCTGACTTAGTTATATTATCAGCAATGTCTGCCAGTTCAACCTTATCCCTTCTTGTGAGTTGCTAATAAAATTAGGCACCAGTTTGACTATTTGAACTCTGGTATGCTTCATTGTTAATCTCTTTCCATACTCGAATTGGCCATTTACCTAGTTTTTTTTTAATGACAGCTTCCTAACAATTGTTTTCCAGACTTTCTTAAAAATCTCCCTAATCTTCATTTTACAACTAGCAGTGTTTTATATTAATCTGGCATCCTTAATCCAGAAGGCTCTTTCTTTAAGGTAAAAATTATGTTCTAGAAAGTAAATTTGTAAAACTGATATTTTAGGATTTCATTAGTGTTGTATCCATTCTTGAACAAATTTGATCCATTTACCAGAAAGGAATTTCTTCCTTTCCCATATTCTCACTAAATGCCAGCCCTGCAAACTCACTTTAGATTTGAAAACTGATCTGAAACTTTTCCTTCTTATGTATCCTTACTAATAAAATCTTTTGATGGACAGATTATGAACTCTGTTACATCAGTACAATGATAAAGTTTTTAATTTATGCCCTCAATGACACCCATGCAACCACAATGAAGTCACTGAGTTTGTATAGCTACAGCTGACTGATTCCCAGCTATAGCTTATTGCTGACTGTAACCCAGCAGATCATTTTATTCACATATGCAAAGTAATAAAATCTAGCACACTTCTACTTAGAAATTTTGGATCTGATTAACAAAGTAAAAAGCAGTGAAAATCTAAATCCCTATAAGTCAGTATATCTGAATATACATACATAGCATACCTATCCAGGGGGAAGGGGGAGACTTTCCACACCAATTTAACTTGTATATAGAAGTTTCTTCATAACATTAATAGATTTTTAAAGTGTATAACAGTGTATATAACAGTTTATAACAACAGCATGGTAGATAAGATTAAAAAGAAAGTGAAGAGCAATATAGGTTCCTATATACAGGTATATAGTACTTAAAATATTGGAATTGGCTCAGTATCCCAAATCTTGATAAATACCATGGGATCTTTAATATTTACAACTGTCCAAACTTTGGTTTGGCATCCCTTGTGAAAGATGTGCTTTTAGTAGCAGTGTCTGTCTTCCCTGGAACTGGCGGAGGCTGGGGGGAGGGCAGGAAAGTCAGCTTCTATTCAAACCTTCAGCACCACCGCCCCTAGTACATTGGGTGATCTTTGGAATTCTGCCCTATTGCCTTCATCTTGTGAAATGAATAACAGTACAAAAGTGCTATATCTATAATTTCCTATTCCAAACTTCCAAAATTTCTTATTTGGGTCTAATCTGCATCACCACTTGAGCAAGGGGGTTTTCTTATTCACTGCCATTTTAAGATTTTTCATTATTGTTCTGCCTCTGTGTGGTTGAGGTAGAGGGAGGTATACATACTTTCTGAAATGAAACAAACTAGCAGTCTTCGTGTTTAGTGAACTGATTTATGTTTATAACTTAGTTTTACATAGCCTTTACAGTTTAGCTTTATCTTAATCTTCCCTAACATACTGATTTCAGGGTTTTTTTTGTTTTGTTTTTTGTTTTTAATTAAAATTACTTCAAATTAAGTGTCATAGTATTATCTCTTGCTACAATTCCCCTTGCATTGATATAAACACATTAACATTGTGAGCACTTGAATTGACAAAGCTGAGCCTTGACCCTTGTCTTCTCCTCCTCTCCTTCAAGGGGTACTAACAGGAAAGGTTAAGCAACACCAGAGACAGTTGACATTTATTTTTGAAATAGGAGAATGCAAGACACTGTGCCCCTCCAACCCTCCCAACATGGCTCAGAAATTACCTTTTACTATCAGTCTACTCATCACTGTATGGCAACATTGCTATGGTGCCTTCCTTTTGAGATGTACTAGCATGGAGCAGTATGGGCAGTTACTGCGCTGTGTGCATGGTGCATGATTAGCTTTCACCACTATGCCATCGCAGCACCATGCATTCCTGGGGAGCACAACACTATGGTGACATAGCTATAGACACGTGGTGCTATGTCAGTGTAGCATGCTGTATGGTGACATAGCACATTGCTATGACGCAGTAGAGTGATGTATAGATGCACCTGAAGTGTGTAAGATTAATGCTCTGAGTTTTGCTTCAGTTGGGTTTTGCTTTGTTGTCCTTTCTGTTCAATGGGCAAGGTCTTTTAAGAACACCTGAGGTGTTTGGATTTACAGAGATGTTACCATGCTGATGTCAGTCAACTCTTAAGTTTTACAGAGATATGAACACATGACAACCCTCCAACAGTCCCAAGAAAAAAAAAATGCAGCTACATGACAAAATTCCTTGAACTATAGTAGATCTGCACTAATCTAGGAAATTTTACCCTGGTTCCAATCCAGGGTAATTCCTTACTGGGCCAAGGTAGTTTCTGCCTAGGACAGCAGTTACCTCTAGCTTTTGCCTCAAAGTTCCCAGTTTCAAGGCAACTCCAATCACACAGCTGTGTCCAGAACCTTTCTTGCTTTCCCAGTACCTAACAATGAAAGGGAGATGAATGAGGTGGCAAAAATGTAGATGTGATGAGGGTTAGCAGGAAGAAACAGCTAAAGAACTTAGGGAACTTACTACTGTTCCATCGGTACAAACATTCCAACTTTTGGACAGGTTTATATCTACTGGTACTTATTACCTGACTGTCCTAATACTGCCAGCTCACCTTTTTTCTCTGTGCACTTAGCTAAGAGACTGCAGCCTTTTTTCCTCACTAAGTCAGACCTTGTTGTAATCATCCATGCCTTTTAGCCTCCATGTTAGACTACTGCAGAGCACTCTATTTGAATCTACTGTTAAAGCTACTCAGAAGCTTCATCTAGTGCATAATGCATCAACTCTTCTGCTTAATGGCATGGGTCAGTCTCATCATGTTACATGCACTACGTTAGCTTTCCTTCTGCTTCAGATGCAATTTACCTTGCTACTTTTAATCATCTATAAAGTATGGGACCTGTTATCCTAGCTACCATTTCCCAGTTTAGACAAGTATGAAGACTGGAATCAAGTGAGACACTGTTCTCAGTTGCTCGATGTGGGCTTTTGAACTGAAGTCAGGGAATTTGCTGGAGTCTTCCTTGTTCTTCCTTGCCTGTGTAGGGATCTGTCAGAACCCAGTGCAAAGCCCATTTATTCAGTTGCCCCTTTGCCACATGATCCTAAACTGTGGCACTTTCTCTTCCCACTTCTTTCTTGCTGCTCGATGGGATGTTAGTCTTTACAAAGTGAGGCAACAAGGTATGATGACAATAAAGACGTTACACTTTACTGAAAGACATTAATGCATTGGACATGAAAGTTTCATGTTTTACCAATTGTGCATACTGCTGCCAGGAAACTTATTGGGCCAGTCCCCCTCCCAACTGTATATTTTAGTTATGTATTCAAAGGAAATTGAACTAATTAACAAACAAGCAAACAAACTTCTATATACAATATATGATCTTACTACATACACAGCTGTGATGATTACAAACGTAAAGTTCCTGATCAGTTTAGCAAACATGGAATTAATGAGAAATTTCTGGTTTGGGTTAGTTTAAAGTTATATTACCATGTGTTTTAAAATACAGTTCTTAAACAAGATACTTTAGACTCTTAGGCTGCTTGCAGATGGTTTAAAAAAAAAAAAAAAAAAAA